TAGTATGTATTTTTGCCACAAGGTAAACCAACTAAGGAATCTTAGGAAATAGATTTCATTTGCATTCAATGCAATTAGTAGATGCTGGAATACCAAGAAAAACGTTTCAATGAGCTTTGGGGAGTACTGTGACTTTATAAAAACCATTTTTTAAAAAATACCATATATAGTAAAATACATATCTAAGTTATATATTCTCACTGACACAGAAGGCTTAAAATAATCCCTTTTTGTGATCAAGTCAGCCCAAACCTATTTGGGCTTGGGAATGTGAGTTCCGTTTTTATTGAGCACTTTACACAAGGACATGTTGGCTTATAACCCTGTGCCTAAGCCAGTATCAAATCCAGGCCAATCAATTCCAAGTCTCAAGAGTTCCAGGGAAGATCAGATATTCTCAGTATTAATTAGTATCGCGAAACAAAGAGTGTGAGACAAGACTTCTGCTCATCTATACGTAATTGTTCACTTTCTTTCGTTCTCTCCCTCTCTTTTGTACTGGGGATTGAACCCAGGGGCACTTTACCAATCAGCCACATTCCCAGCCCTTTTTAGTTTTCATTTTGAGACAGTATCTTAGGGCCTTGCTAAACTGCTGAGGCTGGATTTGAACTTGGATCCTCCTGCCTCAGTACCTGAGTTGATGGGATTACTGGCCTATAMCACCATGACCAGCTGTTGAGTTGTTTTTAATCATGAMAGGATGTTTACATTCTTCCTATACCTGATTTTTACTCATGTAATTTTGTCAAATGCTTTTCTGCATCTAGTGAGATGATCACGTGATTTTTTTTTTTTTCATTTTGTCTATGTGTTGTATCACATTAATGAATCTGCATGTCAAGTTTAGGTTGACTTAGCCATGGTAAACAACCCTTTTAAGTACTGTTCAATTCAGTTTGCTAGCGTCTTTTTAAKAATTTTACATGTTTGTTTAACAGAGTTGTCCTGTAATTTTATTTTCTTGTAGTGTCCTTGTCTGGTTTTGGTTTTTGTAAAAGTTGCACTTGTTTTTAATGTTAAAAAATTAACATAAAATCATCAGCATTTGTATAAACCAACAAGAAATACCCAAAAAAGAAATCATGGATCAATTCCATTTCCAATGGCATTAACAGTTAAGGAAAATTTTAAGGAGAGAACATGGTGGTTTAGAGGAAAGAAGCCCCGCCCAGCAGTTCCTTAGCACTGGACTTAAAAAACCAAGGTGGGTAACTAAGGGAACTCACTGAAATTCAATATTGGACAGTAAAAGAAATCACAGAGACACAGAATTTAAGTTATGGTATGTTAAAGACATGCCAGCCTGGGGTGGCAGAGCTGGTGGCAGCCAGGTCTGCTTGAGCAGAGGGGGGTGCAGGCAGAGAAAAGTGTGGCAGGAAAAAAAAAAAAAAAACTGTTCTGGAAGAACCTGTGGAACAGAGAGGGAGGCTGATCTTAATGGACTTGAATTGGTGGAAGAAGTCATTGAGTGAAAAGCAACCAAAATCACTCAGCTCATGGGGGCAGATAGTTGGGTAGAAGCCAGGGTCACCAGCACAGGAACATTTATAAGCCTGGCCTGACAGCAAGCCAAGGGAGGAGATTGGGAACTCATAAGGGAAGTGGCAGCTGACTCAGCAGGTATCTACTAGGAGCCCCAGAGTGTACCTGGACCAGTGTAACTCAAATAGGCCCAAAGAAAACTGCTAAGGAGAGCAAGCTCCTTTTGTAGTGGATGCCCCATAGCAGCTAGCTATTGGCCACACAAAAGCATCTGCAATCCAGCTCTGATCCCTGCTAATTCACATCCATAGTGGTGAATGTGAGACCTGTGAAGGTTTAGACTCTGCACTCTCAAAGTAGAATGGATGGGAGGCCTGAGACATGGACATTCAGCCATTGGTATTTCCCCAGCAATAGGGGGTGTGGATTAAATTTAAAATATCCACCAACAAAATTCCAAAGTTCAGCTGGATTAAACTCCAACTACTGGAACTTTTGGTTTAGAGCTCTACACCAACCCCAATGCAGGAGTACACAGCATGTCTGTATTCACCCCTCTTTCCCATCCCAATCTGGGAGACAGGAAACTAAGAGCTACTACAACCAGCTTTGGCTCTTGGCCACAACAGCTGGCAACATGCAAGGAAGACAAAGATGTTGGACTGAACAACCCAGCCCTTGAGCCAAGGGTTCAGAGCCCAAAAATGAAAAATGGAAATCCACCCATGCCAAGAATTTTGACGGAGGAAAAAAGCCCTATATTTCTCATTTTTTTTTTGTCTATCCCTTTTCCCCCATACATTTCCCCTTTTTACTTAAAAAATTTCAAATATTACTTCATTAATTTACTTTTTTTTTTCCATTCTGATTGTGTGCCATGCACATTCACTGTGTGAACACATTTAATATATATATTCATATAATTTTGCTTCATTTTAATTGCTTCTTCATTTATTATTTAGCCCTGGTTTTACTTACGTGAGGTAAAACTATACTGTGGTCTGAGTTGTTTTGTTCTTACATTTGTGTTTTTGTACCTTGAATTTTGTCTCTTTTTGCGGCTTCTTCACTCTTTTTCCCCAAAGTAGTTTTTCCTATTCCCTCTTCTACTTTTAAAAAAATTTACTTTTATGTTTTATTCTTCCTTTATTATAGCTGTTATCTGCTTCCTATCACCTGCTTCTTCCATGTTCATGCTTAAAGTATTTCAAAGTTTCTTGTCTTCCCTACTCTATTTTCTCTTCATGTTAGAAATGTAGCCAGGTGCACGGACACACTTATAATCCTAGTGACTCAGGAGGCTGAGGCAGGAGGAGCTCATGTTTGAGGCCAGCCTTAGCAACATAGAAAGGTCCTAAGCAACTTAGTGAGAACACATCTCTAAATAAAAATTTAAAAGGGCTGGGGATGTGGCTCAGTGGTTAAGCATCCTTGAGTTCAATCCTGGTACCAATAAATATATAAATAATAAAATTTAAAAKAGTTCTCCTTTGACATTTCTATCAAACATTATACCAGAGGTTTTGGCCAGTAAAATGTGCCAAGAAATAGGTATACAGATTAAAATAAGAAAAATAAAGCTTTTTTATTTTGTATATGATAATTTACATAGAAAATCTGGTAGACTGAAAATTGTAACTTACTGCATTTAGCAAGGTTTCAAGGTAAAAGGTCAATATATAAGAACAAATTGCATTTCAATATATTAGGAACAAATCATCGAAAATCAAAGTCATTTAGTATAAAAAATGTAATGGATAAATCTGACACAAATGTGCATATAATGAAAAGATAAAGCATTGCTAAAATCAGTAGAAGAATTACTGTGTTCATCGTTGGAAAACTCCTTGTTGGGTTTGTTACAATCTTAGCCAAAACCCATCACGTATTTCATGCTTATTATAAAAAATAAACTGGTAAAGCTGATTATAAAATTTACATAGAAATAAAACAGAATGGACAAAACAGAAACAAAACAGCAGGAAAAAAATTTAGAGAAAAATAAAGGGCTTTCACTGCCCAATTTCAAGACTTCCAAACTAAAGAAATGAAGGCAATAATGTTGGAGTTTGAGATACAACTCAGCGAACAAAGAGCAGCTTTGTATGCAAACAGTACAGGAACCAGGTGTCAATCCATGCTTYCCATCATAGACTAGGTAAATTTCTTAGATTAAAAACACCAAAAGCATGATTCAGAAAAGAAAACTAACCATCTCAACTTCATAAAAACAGAAAACTTTTCCAAAGACACTAGAAGAGACAAGGCCCACTCTGATAAAGCTCCCGGCTTCTGTGGCGCGCATGCCTAAGCAACTCAGAGAGACCCTGTCTCTAAATTAAAAAATATAAAAGAGCTAGGGATGTGGTTCAGTGGTTGAACGCCCCTGAGTTTAATCCCTGGTACCAAACAAAAAATGAGGGGAAAAGCCAACATCMATCAAAGGGTGAATAAAACTGGTATATCCAACAGCAGCATACTGCTTAATGAGAAATGGACTGCTGGCATCCACACTTGGATGAATCTTGAAATAATGTCCAGCAAAAGCATGCAGACAAAACAATACATTTTAATTCCATTTATATTAAGCTCTTGAAAAGGCAAACTAATGTGAAAGAAAACAGATCAGCGAGTGCCTGGGAAGGGACAGGAGGAACTGCAGAACAGTAGAGAAAACTTAGGAAAGGTTATGTTCTTGTGGGGAAAGCCTCATAGTTGTTATGCACATGGAAACTGAGGTATTTTACTTCAATAAAGCTGCTTAAAAAAGAAGAGTTTACCCCACCTGGGGAAAACTGCTACCTGACTTCTGCTGAGATGAAGGGCAAAGCCCTTAAAACTTCTCTGAGAGCCTATTGAGATGATCTGTGAGTTCCTTCCTTATATTTTAGGGGCCTTTTCTTAATTCCAAACCTCTTTCGTTTCTAGAATTAAGATAACCATAAAAATTTAAGGCAGATATTATTAAGTTCATAATAATTTTATTCATAACAAAATTTATTTATAGGTATATACAATACACTTATTTTTTACTTTGACACATAAAAATAGACATATTTACACATATACAAAAATATCAAAACCAACTTCAGAAATAAGGAAAACACGAAGACTTTACAAAGGATACAGTCTTGAGAAATATATACACTGAAAAAAAGGTTTAAGAAAGGTAAACAAACATTTAAATTAACAGACTCCAGAAATTGATATTTTAATTGGTATTAATTTAGTGAAACAAGATGTCTCAAATGCTAGTAGATAGTAACTATGTAGTTTTCCCTCTTTAAAAAAATATTTAAATTTTGTTTTGTACTGAGAATTTTAAGCTTTTTCACATTAAGTCATAAAATATTTTAAGAAGTTGCGTGTCTTCTATTTACTGGGGGAAAAATCCCAGATACATTGATTTCAATATAAAAAGCAAAAAAAATCACAACCATTTTTTGGGGGGATAAGATTAAAACCTAACATTTTCTAACTAACCCTCATGCACATTTATAATTGATTTAATAACATCACAATCTTTGTAAATTCTTTTTGCTTTTCTTTGTACCAGGAAGAGGACCCATTTTACAATTGGCTTTCAGGAGCTTGCCATTCACACAGTCTTTGGTGGAATGATAATCACACAGACACCTTGTACAATAATCAAATCCACAGCCTTCCCTTCTGCAGGTTGCACGYTGTAAATAGGAATCATATTTTGCAGGTGACTTACAGCGTATACAAGCTTTGAGGCTTTCGTTCTTTTTCAAAGTCTTGGCAACCTTAAAAAARAAAAGAACAGAAACCATAAATTTTAGTAAGGACTGAATGTAATTTAGTTATAGTAAAACCAAGAAGGGTATCTACTCCCCCTTACATATTTAAAGCACTACCATCACACATAAGACTTCTTTCCCCTAAGGAGACTATTGTTCAATGGGTGACAGCATTACTTGTCAGGGGATTCAGTGGCCACTGCCACTTTTAGATATATTGCCTTCTACCTCAGGCTAGGTCTTAAATAGACACTGAAGGCTACTTGCACATCAATGAATAACTTAAATGCCACCATTTCTATAAAGCCTTCCTAGCTACTGAGGAGTTGGGTGCTCTTTTACCTTGAGTTCTTTTTAAGCCATCTTTTTTTTTTTTTTTTAAAGCAAGGGAGGGGGGGTATCCGGGATTGAATTCAGGGGTACTCGACCACTGAGACAAATCTCTAGCCCTGTTTTGTGTTTTATTTATACACAGGGTCTCACTGAGTTTGTTGAGGCTGACTTTGAAGTCATGATCCTCTGGCCTCAGCCTCCTGAGCTGTTGAGACTGTAGGTGTGTGCCACTGCACCTGGCTTTTAAAGCCATTTCTGAGAGTTGAAATGGAGGGGGCAGAAGAACTATTAATTCYCTAATTGTTCTAATTATGATATAATTAAATTTCAATGAACATCAATATCTCTTCCAATTTAGAAGAGAATACATTAGTTATTATTAAGAGCTAAGTTATATTTTGACCTTGAAAAAATATTTTCTATTTCTTTAAAAGTTTTTTTAAAAAGTAAATGCCCCATGTTTGTAATTCATTGATTAAACATAAAATTACCTCAGAGAATTCATTGTGCCGACTGTAAGTAGAACTTTTCGGATCACGTTGACTGGATAACTTTGTTTGCACACTTTTGGCGGGAGGAATATGTGTTGCAGATTTTTGAACAGAAGCTAATGCAGTTCTGAACATAACATATTCTCTGGTTGAAGCATGTGGTGAACACTTAATGCTGTTTTCCTAATTAAAGAAATTTCAACAGGAGTTAATAATATTTCCTTTGCTATATCAATTCAACAACCAATCACTTAGTTTTGTACACATAGGAAAGGTCAAACAGGACTGAAAGGAACTTATCCCTACATCTAAYGTAGCTGCACATGCTTAAACATAGCCACAATAACCATTCAGAATTTAAAGCCTAATTCTTGGTGGAAAGTGAATCAGAAACTGAGAAATCACTTTATATGTGTAGTCTATGAGGTATTTATTTAATATATGATTTAAAAATAAACAATGTCAAAGAACAAATGATCATTCTTCCTATCACCAGTAGATGGCACGAGCCAACTATAAGTGTCACCATAGTATTTAACAGATTTATAGTCTTTTATATTAGAGTTTTCATTAATACCAGTAAAGAAATTCAACCTGGAGAATTAAGCAATACTTGTATAAAGTCATTTATTTAGTAGTAGCACCAAATTTTTGTACCTAAGCCTGTCCAATTCTAAAGCCCAAACTTTTAATCATGCATTGATCTCAATCTTAGACACATCTATAGTTACTAAGTATTTTAGAAATATAAACATATTTCCCTTCCACAGTAAGAATCTTCCATATATTGATATTACTGTTTTTCTGGCAAGAAAAGTATACTTTTTATAGCCCCTATTATTATTATTTTTTGGTACTGAGGATTGAACCCAGTAATCCACACTCCCAGCCCTTTTTAAAAAATATTTTATTTAGAGACAGGGTCTCACAGAGTTGCTAAGTGTCTCACTAAGTTGCTGAGGCTGGCTTTTGAACTCTCGATCCTCCTGCCTCAGCCTCTCTGAGTCTTTGGAATTACAGGTGTGAGCCACCATGTCCCTATCACCAGTAGATGGCATGGCCATCGCCATCTATTAATAACTAAGAATTGCAAATTAAATCTMTTTCCAAGATTGGCTAGATGGTCAGTACATGAAAACTTAAGTTATTTCTCCCTTATTAGTTTGGGCATTCTATTTCTAGAGGGAACCCAATAAATAAGTAAATAACTGAGGTGGAATTCCCTTTATTTTTTGAATTTGGTTTCTTAATMAGTTCTGTGAAAGGCTAAAATTATTTGCAAAGCATTTTTCCTTTTGGAAAAGGGTTTCTAGATTACTTTTTTCTTTCCTATTTCTCCTTTATTTCTAAAGGAAAGAGTAGTAGCAGTGTATTTTAAAAAGAAAACATCAATTGCAAAGACTTACAGTAACTCTTTGCATTGCTTTATTGTATAACTGGAATGTTGCCTTATCGTCTTCTAGAATCTTCTTCCAGGCTGTGCTCACTTTGGACATACTGGAAAATAAATGATCACAAAAGAAACAAATAAAGCACCAAAAATAYGCTAAGATGGATATAGTAGAGAAACACTAAGTATAAAAATGAAATTTAATTTAAGTGTTTTTCAAAAACTATCCATTAGAATGGTTTTAGGCTTTTGAGACTTAAGGACARATGCCCAGGGCTAGTCATTTGGGTTTAACTGGTCTAAAATGGGGCTCAGGTTTCTATATTTTTTAAATAGCTCCTCATCAAGTAATTCTCATATATCCAGGTTAAGGATCAGTCTTTGTACTTTATTATTATTTTTTATAATACCTGAGAACACTAAATAGTAGCCCTCATTGTGATATATGATACCATGTTTGATAAAAAGTGCAGACACATTTYGAAGTACTCTAGGACATACCACTATTAGCAGAAATCTACTTGAAAAGCCCATTATGATAACAGAAAAGGGTACAATCTTTGAGCCCCACACTTAAAAACTGGTCTAAAAACATTTTATACATCAAGCGTGGCAAAAAGTCATAGGCGTATTAGATATGTAGACTGTAGATATGTAGTTTATCTCCAGAGACATAACTAATAAATTACAAATTTCAGAACTAAAAGAAACAAAAGATGCCAAACAATAGAAACACAGTTTTCTAACAGTGAACATGAAATTCATAATGATCACATTAAATACATACTTCTATAAGATTTTCTTTCATCTTAGTGGCACACAAGTAGTGAAATAAGTGCCAGTGATCAAACAGTCATTATTTCAATTAAACATCGTCAGACTACTACATCAGTCTTTGTATCAGCTGATAGAACTGAGATACTGAGATATCTAACAGAAATGTATAGTAGATTATACTCATATACTCTAATAAGCAATAATACTTACTTGATTAAGTCCATATCACTGAGCTGTGTCAAAATATTTGCTAGGAGATGTCTGAGTCCCCTTCGAAAGAGTTCACCAAGGATATCTACACATTCTAGGCCCATTTTCCTGCCAATTATATTCTGGAGTCTAAAATTTCCATTGGATATAATTTCCTTCAGCATTTCTCGATCTATTTTAGGATTTCGCTTAGCATTCTTTTTTAATGTTGAACAAACCACTTTTTCAAAATGAAGAACTGGCAGCAAGTTTTTGTTGGGATATTCTGGGCTTTGTGTCTGTAGTAGGCAGGACTGTGGGCTGTTTCTGAAATCTTCCTCGAGTGAAAAGCTACTCTCTTCATATTCATTGAGGATACTTTGCTGAGTAAAGGAGGAATACCCACTGTCTTCACAAAGTCTACTGGTGTCCAGTTCTTCTATTTCATTGGGACTATTAAGTGTTTGTTGCACATGTTGATTTTCTTTGTTATGCAAGGGTTTGCTTTTAGGTTCAAGTTCTTTAGTCCTATAGCTCACAACTGGTGACCCAATATATGATAACCTTTCATAGTTTTTAATGCAGTCTTTACAAGAACCTTCTAAATATGCAGGAGTGTAGGAGCCTTGTCTTCCACTTTCATCTGGTTTTACCAGTTTCGATTCAGAATGAACATGGTTAYAATTAAAATCACACTTCATTTTGCCAGAAAAAGTAAAACCTTCTTCTTTACAACCTACAAAAAGAACACATTTACTTCTTAATTGCAAAATTTAGATTGGAATATGCAAGATTCAACAACTTTGCATTATCTTAGAACTATGTATTGCCTACATGCATTTGCCTATAAAGCTGTGAAATTATCCAAGTTTAATTGAAATGACAATACATGTGGAAATATTTAAATCTTATAGACATACATATTCTTGAAGACTTCAGGACAGATTGCTTTTGAATCTATATATGTGTAAAATTTGACTATTTAGAATCTACGTTTGATTAAGTAAAAAAACAATGGGAAAAGGAACCATATACATCTGAACTCATGTAACAAATGAGGAATGTGATATGACAAAGAGTAGGGCCCAAAGTTAAAATCTTCCTCAAAGTAATCACAAACATTTCTAGAATCAGTGTTTCTACTCTGGACTTTGAACATTCATACGTTAATGTATACCTGAACTCCCAGTTTTCATCTCCAAGTTTTATTCTGATTGAGGTTCTAGGTGACTGTGCAGATATACTTAAAAGTGTTTGTATACTGTAATGAATAAACTCAGTCAAAGGGACATCTCTCTATATCTGGCTTAACGTGCTAAAAATGTTGCTATATTCAATCACTGAGCAAAGGTGTTTCATGACTAATTAACCAAAGAATCAAAGTACTTCAGCTACCAGTCAGAATTAAGACTTGACAAATAAAACATGATATAAAACCATATTTAATAACTMGAGGGGAATAGGTCAGCAGGTGTGAATCACTGTGCAATTGCTTTAAACAACTTTAGACAACATACTGGTTATAAGTAGCATAAGAGAAAAAAATACTATCAACAAATCATGTAACTATTTCTGAACATTACTCATTAGAATTCTTAATTAYTGATTCAATCTTAACCTTAAAAGACTAAAAGATCTAATCAGTGCTTTTACACAATCCTCMGTGCCTAAGACATTAGTTAAGACACATGGAGAAGGCAGCATAAAGCAGGGTTTCTCTATCTCTACTCACTTAATTCTTGCTCTTATGTGCTCCCCCAACATGTGGCTGTTTAGCAGCCTTTACTCTTAGACATCAGTAGCAGCCCCCAACCACAAGGTGTAACAACAAATGTCTTCAGTAACCAATTATCACCAAATACAGCACAAGGGAGGTGGTAATGGCAACATTTCCTTTATTCCCAAGTAGAAAACTATGTTTTTATGTACTAAATATTGGTAATTTGTCCATATTAATATAACTGGTTTTACTGAGAGCAAAACTTTTCAATCCAAAGTACAAATATACCTTTCTATCAAGTAAATTTGCAATTGGAGGCTCCCTTTAACTTCCTAAAGCCGACAGTGACAGTCCTATGCTTTAGTATCCCACTAAACCTAAAAATTAAGTTTTAACTAAGAGTTCAGGGACATAAAGAGTACATAAATAGGGCTGGGGTTGTAGCTCAGTAGAGTGCTCACCTAGCATGCTTGAGGCASTGAGTTTGATCCTCAGCACCACATAAATGTAAAATACAAGATATTTTGTCCACTTAAAAAGAGTACATAAATAAATTTTAACTTCCCAATTAACCCTAATCCTAAGAACAAATTAAGTGGTTTCCTTTATTGGCAAAAACACCAGTCAAAGCTTTTTCCCCTATTGTCTCAACTAGAGAATTAAGTTTGATTTACATAGGATCACAATTTATATGAGAAGATTAAAAAAACAGAAGCAGCCTATCAAAGGCATAATTTTTACTTTAGGTGCCTAAAGCAAAAAGGCATGAAGCTGACCTCCAGGAACTCCTTTTTCAAAGGTATATTCCTTGTTTCTAGGACCTAGATTTGGGAAGAATGTCCTATAGAACCTCTTTTATTCAACACCATTTCTTAAATAGACAGTCCTTTACAGCTAGCAATGATTCAAATATTTTATATTTGTTTAAAAGTTTGCAATTTCCAATATTCTCAAACAACTAATTAGTCCTCACTTAAAAAAAAAGTTATCATTACCCTGTTTTGATAATGGAGCACAGTCAAGCTCAGCTAAGTAGATTGCAAAAGATCTGATCATGAGATAAGAAAGCCAYATCACTGGACTGTAAATCCCCTGCTTTTTCCACTATCTCACCWGGAAATGTGGCACAAACCTGTTTACAAGTGACCAAAAAGCCAGAATTTATGATGCAAGAAGTTATATATTCATTCAAGGTATATATTTTCTCTGCCCAGAATATCTTTTTGGCTGCCTTTGTCTGGTTAACTCCTAGTTTATTATTCACGTTAAGCTTCATGTTTCATTTTATTTTTTGAGGGGTCTTCTTAGACCACATCAAACCCTGCTTCCTAGCTCAATCGATTTTAAATTTGTAAGCTTACTGTAAATTCCTTAACACAACTGCTATTGCTTATGATGCAATCTCAAGCAAAYAATACAGTGCCTGACACAATGAAGACGGATATAAAATGTCAGCATTTCCTAATATTTTAGCTAAGACCAAGATTAGAATCTGTACCTATCACTATGGTGCCAACACTTTTCTTTTTTTGCTTTGGTGCTGGGCTTGAACCCAGAGCCTTACACGCCAGCCATTGTATTTTCATTTGAACCGTACAGAATCCCCTATACATTCAGCACCAGTACCTAACTCAGATTACCATGGTGTACATGTCACAATTAATGAACAAATATTGATGCATTTTTAAGTAAAATACACATTTTAGTTGTTTTCAGTTTCTACCTATTGCTTTCTTGTGCTCCAGAATCCCATCCAAGATCCACTGTCATGTTCCGGTAGACACCCCTTGTTTGTGCCAATTTCTGACTTTCCTTATAGAATGCCCATCAATGGGTATTTGTTTAATGTTTTTGTTATGGTTTGGGGTTGTGGGTTTTTAGGAAAAAAGACACAAATAAAATGCTGTCATCACATCCCATAGAAGGTAAAAGTTATTAATATGGCCACTTATCACTTCCAATGTTTATCTTAAGCACCAGGCTGAACTGATCCTTTCGGTTACCTCCTGATATCATAGTATTTAAAAAGAAAAATCACTATACAGCTTATACTTCTGAGAAGTGCTGACTTTTGTACTTTTTGTCTAAATTTCTATTTTTCAAAGGGACGTAAATACATAATCTTTTAGAATCTCTCTGCAGATTTTATCTATTTTATCCCATTTCTTTCCTTTTTCAACCATTTATATCAGCATAGACTCATGGGTTTTGAATCATAATCCAACACTACTTAAAAAAAGTTTTTTTCTCAACTTGTTCCAGCTTTCACTATGGCAAGCTCTTTCAGCTGGTGCTGACTTTCATTTGACATATCTGCAAATGACACATGATTTTGTTTTTTGAACATTCCTTATTTTTTGGTTCTACAGGATGCTCTTGGTGGTTTTTATTTGAGAAAGGAAATAAAATCTGGATACTGGTTGTAGATTTAATTTTAACATATGAAGTGACTGTAATGAATTTTTCATCTCCATAACAATACTGAAAAGTAGGTTGATTTAAATACCACTGTCAACAGGAAAGGAAGCAGAAGTAAACTGCTTGCAAAGGCTAAGAGCATGCCTTTAACTAGTCAGGTACTTTCCAAAGACCAAGTCAAGTGTTCCCAAACTCTTTGGGAACTATCTGTATCCATAATTGACATGATATTATCCAGATAAAGGGAGAGACTATTACTTGATTCTATAGCCTCTTGAAGTTAGCAAATAGGGTCAAGAGTCCAGTTCTGCCTCTTCATTCATTTATACAATATTTAATGATAGTATGGAGTGAGGAAGACATTAATCAGGGATGACCTTTAGAGAAGGTGATATTCTGAAATCTAGAAGCCTTGTGGAAATCTGTTAGGAAAATTCCAGATTCAGGGAAACACAAGCAAGCAAAATGTAAATTTTTAATGTTCAAAAAAGAGTAATAATAGTGCTGCAACTTAGTAAGATGGGGAGAATGACTCAGAAATAATGTTGGAGAAGTGGAACAGTCATAGGGTAGGTCGAACCTTTGCACTGTTCCAAATAATGGAGAGAAATTTGGTTTACATTTTAAAAAGATCATTGGTAGCTGTGGTGAAGCTGTACAGGAAGGTAAAAGTGAAGGCTAGGAGGTTAGTTAAAAGTATTTTACCACAGGAGTACAGAGTTGGGGACTAGGGTGACTGCAGTGGAAATGAAGATAACTGGGTAGGTTCAAGGTCTACTATGTAGGAGGATAAAGACATAATTATGTTGCTAATGTACTGGATGTTGATGATCAGGGAAAGTGAAATAACAATACCCTAGGAATTAAGGTTTGAGCCATCCAATGTACAGCCTTATTTACAGAGTTGGGGAAAGGCAATGACTTTTTCTCAAAGTCTGTTTCCTCATCTATAAAATGGGAGGAAGAAACTAAACTCCTTATACTCCTCAAGTTGCACATCATTAACATTTAAAAGCAGTAAAATAGCCTCCAAAGCAAAAATTTGGGAAACAGATCCAAGTTCAAATGAAAATATCTGCCCAGCCTTTGTTAASTGAACAGTGTCCTTCCATTACTATTCTCATTTTCCCTAAAACAGATACTAATGATACTCAAATACTGCATTTTAAAAAACTCTTATTAACCAACTCAGTTCAATCATGAAACAAGTGGTATTATGACAAACTCTACAAATTTGACCTTCCATTTAACTTCCCAATCTAGACACTCTATAGATAACCACCATGTGCACAAGGCTACACATGCTCATTCCTTAAGAATTTGAGAGCCAAGACCTATGGCCAAAGCTGAAAAATCAGCCATAATCCTCAACAGAAAATTTTAGGAAAGCCTACTTTCAAAAGTATTTGGATGCGATATTTAGTTTTCTCAAATCTGTAAACAGGCAGAAATAAAACCTTGGAAGCACTGAATACTTTTAAGAGAGAAAGGTAGTTAGAAAACTGGAGAAAAAAAAATTCCATCATAAAGACATCAACGTTCAGAATTTCGAAGGCAGAGTTAGGTATCGGGATATTTTAGAAGTATATATTATTGAACCCGTTAAAATTAATTTCTTTTACTACTTGATTCCTTTTCTAATGAATGAGACATCACCAAACACTGGAATACAGATTTGCTATTTTTTCCATTTGGGGCCATTTGTGAGGTAAAATAATGCATTAGGACTTCATTTAGAGATGGCAACAAAGAAGATAAAAATAAGCGTTGGAGTGCCCTCCAATCTACCTAAATTTTGTAATAAAGGACTATGTAGCTGTTCAGGAATACAGCCAAATAAAAATCACTTCTTCAATTCTCACAAATTGGCTAAATACCCTAGACAAATTCACAGGTTTGTATTAAAAAGTGCTTTTATTTTAACCCTTCCCTTTCGAATCTAGGCCTTGAGATTGAGTTACAGAGCAAAAAGAGAAAAAAAGGATAAAACTGACGTTTTTGTCTGGATGTCCCAATGGAGCTTGGTCCGATGTGGGACTGGGGGGGGGGGAGATCCTCTCCATTTGGCGGGAGAGGGGAGTAGACCCTGAAAATCCGGCGGGGTGGGTGGGCCGTCCCCTGCGGGCGCGGGACTCCGGAGGCGGGAGATCACCGGAGCAGGATCTCCCGCGCCCGCCAGCCAGCCCCAGGAGGAGCATCCGGGAGYGGGCTTGGGCTGAGAGGTGTGCGTGGATGCAGAAGAGGGGGCCAGGAGAGAGGTGCGGGGAGAGGGACGCGGGGAGAGGGCAGGCACCTGGCGGCCCTGGGGTGTCCCGCGCGCAAAACCTGTCAGCTCCAGCGGGGGTGGGGGCGGGGAGGGGGCATTTTGGCGCCCATTCAAGCGGGTGGGGCGGGCCGACCTTCCCGGGATTAGCAGCAGCCTGGTCTGCCACCGCCCCACCTCCCCGCAGCTCAGCCCAGGTTCCGCATGGGCGGCGGGACCCCGCGGTCAGCCACCGCTTCCCAACACATCTGGTCTCCCCTTTCAGAACCCCAGACTTCTCTCTCCCCCCATCTGAGAACCATCGCGACCGTCGCCCGCCCCAGGGTCCTGCGAGAGGCCACGCGACCAGGCTGGGGAGAATGCAGGGTCAGGTGTAGCACACTGCGTCCCTCACCATGCACCCCTAACTGAAGGCGCTACTACACTCGGGTTCCCCTCACTCACCGTCTGGGCAGCGAGGGCGCCCGGCGGCTGTCAGCGCGCTGGAGCTGCAGGAGCAAGAGCTGCTAGAGCAGGAGAAAGGCCGTGTTTCGCAGCTGCAGGGGCGCCAGCTCATGCCAGTGGACTTGGGGTCCGCCTCAGGTGTGGTTTCGGCCACACCAGCGGCCAAGCGGGTGCCTGCTTCACAGGACTGTAGTTCTTAAAAGGCGCCAGCTGGTACTTTTAAAATCTTTGAATTTGGTGCCCAAATCCTCGCGGCCCAATGAGGAGCGTCTCTCGCACGCGCGCGCCAATAGGAAGGCAGTGGGAGGGGACGTCCTCGCCCACGCCCAATTGAAGGCTGCTGAGGCGGGGCCGAGCCGCGAAGCCCAACCCCCTTCCATCCTGCTCCACTAGTCCCCAAAGATGCTGCAGTCTGGGCGGGGCCTAGGAGGACAGGGAGCCCGCGGTCCAGCTGCACGTGGAGAGAGCCTACCACGCACGCGTACACCCTCCGCAGTTCACTCCGCCGTCCTGGGAACGGCCCTCCTTCAAGCCCCATTATTAGCCAGAAGACAGCTCTGGCTTCTCCGAAGATCTCTGACGGGCACAAACGATATCCAACTTTCTTCGATCGTCTCACAAGCGGGAGACCGGTGAGCGGCGACTCTGGTCGTCCTGGAATCCAGGCTTTCCGGAAGACGAACCCTCCCCCAAGCCCTACGGAGCCCGCCTCTCTAGGATTTAGGCGCGCTCGCCTCTCCCTCCTAATTTTGCCCCTCCCCTCGTCTAAGGCCTCTGCGCAGGCGCTTTTGGCGGGAGGCCAGAGAGTTGGCGGGTTGGCGCTTGCGCACTGTAGTGCCCCGCGGTTCCCTCCAGAGCGGGCGGGGCGCGGCGGGCGCGGAGCAGGTAGCGGTACGTAGGTGCGCGACCTTGTATAGAGGCGGGGCCCCTGAAGCTAGTCGCCCTGTGGCGGGAGAATGGAGCCTGGTGTTTACGCCTTCCGGCGTGGCCGAACGTGAATCCTTGCTCTTGAGTTTACGTGTATTTTCAGCTGTAGTTGTTCAACCACGATTGATTCTCTCCCCCCCCCCCCGACGTTAGGTGTACTGAATTTGTTTGTATGCCTTCCTGATTTTTCTTTCCTCCGTGGGCTAAGTGCAAGAGACATTAGTGCTGTTCAAAGAAATAAAATTCCAACTTTCTTGAACTGAAGACCTCTGGCTGGGTGAATGTTTTTCCTGGCGATTGTTAAATCTTTGCTGACATATTGCACCATATTATTACTGATGCCGAACCTGGTATTATTTGAGCATGCGCCTAAGTGGTGAGGGTGCATTCCTTGGACTCAGGTTTTGGCTCCTTAAGTGAAGCTACAGGATGTATGTTTTCAAAAAACCCCAATCCCCGCCTTTTACTATTTCCCCTCCTTTAATTTCCTGTAGTCTCAGAAAGGGAGAGTTGGCAGTTGGCTTTCAGTTAATGTTCAATGCAATTGGTTCACACAGTTCCTGTGTGAGGCAGGGCCAAGATTAGGATGAGTCATACAAGTGCTGGCTGGATCCATCTTTACCTAAAATTTTTATAATTAATTCATATTTTTTTGCATCTTCATTTTCTAATGTTCCATTAAACTAATATTAATCTTGGGTGCTAAAATATGTTAGTCCCTTAAGTTTTGTACCTGAAGCATGTGTCCCATTCACCTTATTCTAGCCTGATTCTGATGGTAGGTCCTGGAAGTACTGGGTTAGAAAGACAAAGAGTCCTGTCCTTCAGGAAATGGGAAAGGAATTGACAAGGATACTAGTAAACATTAAGAAAACAAAACAATGAATCAAGAATGGGGAGGAGAGAGACATAGGTTTTAAGAACTTTGGAGGATCAGAACAGTTTCTGATGCTTTGAACCATTGTCTACTTGTTGAGCTGGCAGTGCAGACAGCTACATGAGCTGGGAAGACCAGATTTCCTTGCTAGAACTCATTGAGCAAGGAGGAAAGTGGAAGATAATGACCAGAGAGGTAGGGAGAAGCTAGATCCTGTAGGGTGTTGTAGGTTTCCATGTAAACTTTTTAAAGAGTTTTTCTTGCTTTGGGTAACTGTCCAATGGATTTTAGCATAGGAGTTGTTGAGTGAATATTAAAACTATATAAAGTTCTTTTATGTACTGTGCAACTAACATTAACATTAATAACTAATGTTAATTCATTAAAGATGTTGGCATTATTTTTATTTTATGGTAATTGTGCTTTGAAGTCAATTCTCACTTTGTGGGAACTAAAACTGCGGAGTGGGAAGATTTCTGACAAACAGTCCTCACRTGGTAAGATGAAAGGTTCAAAGGACCAAACTCATGACAACTAGGAGTGAGATTCAGAAAGTCCATTTACTGTTTTCTGTTATGCTTTGGAACATTTACTGGGGTCTTGGTTGTTGACTACATTTTTACATTACTTCCCTGTTTGACTTTAGAAATCGTCTTTATTCACTTTATTTTCAGATATGGGCAGAGGCAGGAAATTTGAGTGGGGAAGGGTTCTCATTAAACTAGTTGAGCACATGGAATATAACCTTTGGCTCTTAACCATCCCTTACAAGTGTTGTTCAGCAGGATCCCCCCCCCCAAAGGGCTGTCATATTATTAGAAAAATAAAAATAGCTTTAATAAGGTAATATAGTCAAGCATAGTTAGTTACATGTTGGAATAATTTGTACCACTCCTTTTCAGTTTATTACTTAATTGATTTGAGCTTTGATTATTCTTAACTGTTACTTTTAACAGGCTCATGACACCTGTTAATTTCATCTTTAGGGATAAAGTTAGAAAATGTCAGTAGAAGCACAGACCTCTTTTTTATGCAAATCAACACCAGAATTGCAGAGTTTTTAGGTGCAAATGAACTCCTTAGAGAATTGTCCTTATTCTTGGTGATCAACTCTCTTTGCAGACTTAGTGCATGCAAGACATATAGGGTGTTGTATATGGGAATAATTGAAACATGGTATACTTACCCTCGTTGCTTATTATATGTGGGCTTGCTTTATAACATTAAACATTTTTTAATAAAGGGGTCAAGAAGTGCAGGATGGAATTAGGTGCACAACATAAGGGTATAATAGAACATTGGATAGATCAAATACATTTGAAGTTACAGTGAGGAATTTTTATAGAACACAGTTTGATTCTATGCCAGGATAAAGGAGTAATCCATTGGACAGGGTTTCTCAACATCAGCACTATTAACATTCTAGGCTAGATAATTTTTTTTTTTAAATTGTGGAGTCTATGCTGTGCATTGCAGGGTGTTCAGCAGCATCACTCATCTCTCATTCACCTTTCCAAGGTGTAATTGTCTTAAAACATTGCCAGAAATTCTGTGGGGGTTGAGGTGGGGGTGAAGCCTCCTCTGAATGAGAACCACTGCTGTGGGTATATCTCTTGAGAGAATTGGAGGAGGTGGCTATCTACAGTATAAGGAACAAAATGGAGGAAAGCTTACATGCAAGGGTCTTTAATTTGACGGAGCATAAAGGAGGTGGATATGTAAAATCACTTCCCTAATGGGGAGTAGTAATGATGCTAGATGCCAGTCATGGATGTATTGTATGCATAGTTGTAGTTTTATTTGGCAGTGGGGACCTATTACAGTGTTGAGCAAAGGAATGTTGAGATCAGAGGCTTGTTTTGTAGACAGATTAATCTGGAGGTTATTTGTAGCCAGCATTATACAGCATCTAGAGAGGATGCAGGGAGAAATTAGGTAACTAGTATACCAGGAGAGAATTAATTCTGGACAAGAGTCAGTGGTAAAGGAATTGGAGAGGATGAGAGGACATAGATCTTAGCAGTAAATTGAATGTGAAGCAGAGGAATCTAAGGGGTCTACATTTTAAATTTGAGAGAGGAAAAGTGGTACCATTAATGGTGAGTTATAGAGGATTATGATTTTTCATTTGAAAGTTATCTATGGCTTCAAACCTGTCATTCAACCTAATAGAGTTTTGATTAGTTCATTCTGTAAACTCTTTTAAATAAGTTCAGTTTTGGTTCTTTATGAACAATACACCAAATTTCTAGAAAAAAATACTTCAGGTATTACTGCTTGTGATGTCATGTCCTAAAGAGACAAGAATGGTGAAAACACAATCTTATGCATTAATGAGATAGTGTAAGGTCTAGATAAACAGATGTTCCTTAAAATAGGGTTATGTCCCCATAAACAAGCTAAAAATGGATTTCATACACCTACCTACAGAATACCACACTACAGCAGTGTAGAATCTTGGGCGTTCATTGTCCTAATAATTGTGTGGCTAAGAGCTGAAGCTCCAGAGTATCCCACCCCAAAACTGAAAAATCCTCAGTAGTGCACCTACCTTAGGTTGGGCACCAGCTGACTCATCCTTTTCTATTCCTTAGCACACAATTTTGTCTTTAATAAAAGTACAAATAAACCAGTAAATTAATATTTTGAAGTAACTGTTGCCATACAGATACTGTGGTATCTTAGTCTGTCTGGTATTGCTGTAACAATTCCAGACAAGGTAATGTATAAAGAACAAATTTTCCTACAGTTTGGGAACCTAAGAAATCAAAGAAAGATCAAGGATTCAGCACCTGCGGAGGGATTCTTACGCTTCTAWGAAGGTACTTTGAGTATTGTGTCCTCACATGACAGATAAAAAGGCAAAAAGGGCCCAACTCCCTTTTTCAAGACCTTCTATGACAGCTTTTATCCATTCATGCCCTCCCTCATGACCCAAACACTTCCCCAAAAGCCAAACCTCCCAACACTGTTGCATTGCAAACTAAATTTCCAATATGTGAAGTTAATTATTTATCGGGGACACGATGCCTTTTAGGTTGGATCTTAAATCTGCATTAGTAAGTGGAGTAAGTTTTCTAGGCAGAGGGGTCAACATTAGTGATGTAGGCATGGTGGTGACATGCATAAGCAGTGAAAATGAATGGTTTTTAATTAATACAGTTGTATTGTGTGTTTTGGCAAACATACACAAATTTGAGGGATCTTAAAATATTAAGAATTAGGATGGTTCTGTACTCTTATCTAAGTTTCATGGGTTTCCAGAATTCTATTTGATTAATTAGGAATAAATAGTGAATGAAGTAGGAGCCCATGTCAGCTCACAGATCATATTTGCCAGTTATTCTGCATGTGTTTATAATATACCAATATGTATTTTATTTTTAAATCTTATTTATTTTTTGCTGTGCCAGGAATTGAACCCAGGGCCTCACACATACGAAGCACACCTTCCACTGAGCTACATTCCCAGCCCAATTTTAAATATATATTGTTAAAATCCCAAATGTGTTAAAAGACAGTTTTTAAAATTGACATTTC